TTGGACACTTAGTGCCATGGTCTAATAACGATGGTAGGGTTGGACTTGATGATCTTTGAGGTGTCTTCCAACCCGGATGAGTCTGATTCTATGATAAGCAGCCATTTTGACAAGCTCCTTTGGAGCTCCTCTCCCGGCCACCCAAGAGGACACAGACCAATGGGACACCACTGGATTCAGAGTGGTGACTATCCTTTGCTTTCTGTACAATTCTCTGCATTTTTCTCACTTTTCTTCTTTCCTCTTTGCACTTCTCTCTTTTTAATTCTCAATAAAGAAAATAATAGCTTTAGTTACCAACATCTGATGTCATGTTTGTCTTAATCTCACCACAGGTATCTGTGTGTACATATATACATACATACATACATATATATAGATAGATAGATATAGATATATATATATTTAATCCTTTATCCCTTGGCATTTACAGTTTGGGACAATCTCCTCCTTGACTGTCAAAGAAATAGATTTCCAAAATTTGCACATGGCCTTCCTGTATCTGCTCCCTGCACTCAAAGGCTTAAGCAGAACTTTAGCCCCAATAAACCCTGATCTGTATTCTCACCGTGTCAGCTGACACTGGTCTAAGAGCCTCAATCTCCTCTGAAAATTGTTCTCCCTCCTACACCACCTCCCTTTTACAGGGTTTATGTTTCAACAGAAAATGACCTAATTTCGCTTCTCAAAAAAATACGGAATGTAGTCACAGATTCACAAATACAACTTGGAAAAGCACAGAAATAATGATTAACTGTATGAAAACTCAATCATTAAGACAGATAAAAATGTGCATTCCAAATTCAATTTAACAGACAAAAGCATTCTTCCATAGCATTCACTCACTTGTTGCAATTGTTTCTGGTTTGAATTTCTTCCTGTCTTGACTTTGAGGCTTCTTTTTCTTCTGTTTTGCCATTCTTTCTTTTTCATCATCACTGAAATCCAAGGCCTGGTTAAAAAAAAAATAAAAATCAGCTGGTTTCTCAGCATAAGAAAAAACACTCCAAAAACTTACCATAAGACATTCATGTACCTAACACAAATTTTAGACTGTCTAGATGTTAGTAAAAAAAAAATCTGGCAATCTCTGAAGGATCTAGCTAGTTACTGCCAAGAAAAAGCTTCTGAAGAACAAACTACAGGCTAGGTAAATTAGAATATGGATTTTTAAAATAAGTAAATAATAAGTAATAAGTAAATCTGTCAGCATTAATTAGCTCCCTGAAAAACAACTTCCTCAGAAGACATAATAGGGGTAGGATTTGTTCCTGCTCTCTCCCCTTCTCAATTCTGAAAGTAAGGGGTTTGCTGCTTCCTGATGTATCTTCTTAGCATACATAGAGTATTGATCACAAAAACACTGCACTTAAACAGTGCTATAAAGCCAAATAAAAGTTAATTCCAAATACAACTATTTCATCTTCTACATAAGTGGATTACACACTCAAAAAAAGCCACAAGGAATACAGCAAGATTATATATACCTTCAAGCAAAATCTTTCACTAACTCCTGCTTTTTCAATGGACTTCAATATGCCGTCCTCCAGTAGAGCAGAAATAATGAACAGCAATAGGTACCTTCTATTGCTACCTAATTTCCATGTAACATTCCATAAAAGCCACCTCACAAAAAGTGCAGTTGTCTGCTCCCACTACCCTTGCAGCACACGGATCATACTTTGTCACCCTATGACCCCAAAGACAAGGCTGAGAGAGAATGTATCAGTGAATCTACAGTTAAGCTGGGCTAATTAAGAGCCTATCAGAAAAGGAACACTTACCATATACCTTAAAGAAGCAAACAAAAAAGGCTTAACATGGAGTAATTTAACATTTGTACAAAAGTAAAGCATCATAGTATCCCAAACAGAACTGACTCCAGCAATTGCACAGTTTACCCATAGGGGATAGCCAGAAAAGTTATAAAATCAGCTGCAAGCAGAGAGCTCTAAAAGACTCTGGATGTAACAGACAATTTCAAGCATCAGTAGCGTAAGATTTAATTTGCACCCTTGTCAACAGCTATTACCTTCACAGCAAAAGATACTCTCTTATCAGCTCATCAGCTATCAGAGTTTGGATAGCCTGGTGTAAACTCTGTCTGAACTAACCAAAGATTATTCTAATTGAGGATTACAAGATGCTAGATGTGGTTTTTTCCCCAAAATAGAGCACACAGACAGATTACAAAGTCAGAACAGCCATGGAAACAAAGGTGTCATAAAAAGCAAGCAAGTTCGCCCACCCTTGCTGTCACTGATTTTGTTCAAGCTTCCTTCCTTCCTATAGTGAAGCACAGCAAACCTAAAGTTACACCTGTACTTTCAGATTCTAACCTGAAGGTAACAGTATCATAATTAAGAAAAAACATTTAAAACCACCCCCAACTTTGGAAAAAGCAATGCATCTGGAGACAATTTGAGTGTTTGACTATTTATCCCAATTTTGAAGTTTCTTAGGTTCCTACAAACTCAAATTACATATTTACTAAGAAACAACAGAACTAAGGAAAAAACTAAAAGACTAAGAAGTAACAAAAAACCTCACCATTACCCAAAAAGTACATTTTGTATCATCACCACTAGAAAAATCGCTGGATGAAAGAAAGTTAAGACTAGTCAAAACTAGTCTTTCAAAGCTCCACTGATCACATACCTACAGTCCAATTCTTGTGCAACACTTCTAATTCTCCAATTATGATTCTCTGTGATGTCTCCCCAAGAAAGGAAGGCAATTTACAGTCAGAACTGACAGACAAGCATTCTTTGAAAGAAGTCAACACCGTCAGCCCAGTTCCATTTGTAGGAAGAAAAAAAAAAGCATTTCAAAATGCATCATCCTCACTACAGGGATGGGGACATTCTGGGCTGACAGACTGATACACAGGACCTATCTTCAAGCGCAGAAAAGATCATGTCACAACATCTCTCCTTCGAGCCAGAACAATCCGCCTGGGATAAGGACTGTGAACGTAAAATTTGATACTGTCCCTCACAGCATCCTTCTGCACACGTTGTCCAGCTGTGGGATCAGCAGGTTCATGGTGTATTGGGTAAAGAACTGTCTGAAGGGCAGAGCTCAAAGAGTTGCAGCAAATGGGGCTATGTCTGGCTGGCAACCAGTCATCAGCAGGGCTCCTCAGGGCTCAGCTCCAGGGCCAATTCTGTTTGATATATTTGTTTGATGTATTTATAGAGGCTTCTAGAAATTTCAGCTGTTTTGGATAAGTATGCTTAAAGCAGAAATTTCAAGAAAAGTGACTCAAGTGTTGAGCTGTAAAATAAATCTCATGAAAACACCTCAATAAAACTCCCTCTTAGCCATTCTTATTGAAGGGAACAGTGATGAAAAGTATAGTTAGAGTGGAATTAAGGTAAACCGGACAGGAAGCCTGGGAGTCACTGAAGAAGTATTAACACATCCTATAATAAATCATGCCAATGGTCATGAAGAGCTCTCACTTCTAGACAATCCTGTATGACTGCCTGTCTATGGAAGCAGCAAATCTTCTCTCAGGAAACTAGTGTTTTATAACAGCAAACTAGAGGAGAAGCTTACTAAGAAGCCATTCAAAGAATGACACCACCTCTGCTGCAATCTAAAAGAGCAGACAGGAACACCCAAGTAGTACAGTTTGCAGACTATTAAGCCTTTAAAGACAAACAATTTCTTGTGGCAAACTAAAGACAAAGCTGCAGTGAAAGAATCACAAGGACAAAAATTATTGGGGTAGGTAAAAGCACAGCCACTCAAACGTTCAGGTTGCCAAACATTCTTGAAGGACTAGAGGAACTGAGATACACATTTTTTCCAACTGCAAAAAGCAAGTAAAAAAAGACGGGCAGTACTTTTTACACTCATTATGAGACCTCTCCAAAGAAAGCATGACCTTTTCTTTCCATATTTTTCTTTCAACCACATAAAAAAATATAAGCCTGCTAATTAGTTATTTTGCACAGATTTTTTTTATACATATAAGTTGCGTAATCAAAAACATAAACAAAAAAAAAAATCCACTATAGTTACTTCAGGTGGTGGTTCTTGGTCATTCATCCAAGATGCATCTGAACCTTTATCCCTAAAAGAAAAAAAAACAAACACAAAACACAAATTAGACAATCCAGATGAAAAAGGACAACACTTCCTTCAAGGTTTAAGAACTCCTACACCAGAAGTTGCCTGTTTTGAAAGAGACATTTGTTTCTTAACATTGTTTCTAAGTGAAGAGTAATATATGTGTCAACTTAGGACTTCACTACATATGTCACTTGAAAAATCTTCCTACTTCCAGTAATGACTGAGCATTTCATACAGCTAATATTAAGCTTTGATCAGTACTCTCTCAACACAGCCTTTTGAACATAAATTGCTTTGAACCTGAATTGACACAGTTCACTGCAACTTTCTTATGCTAACTACTGACTACAATCACAGCCTTTCTTACTCTGGTTCCAGACATGTATCTCCAGCTACAAAGAACGATGAACTGGTCCAGCAGGACACAGACTTTAAGTACAACACAGTCACAATGGAACCAAAAGAATCTCTAAGCTTGGCTTACAATTTTATTACAACAATGTTAGCTAATAGGTAGTTAGCTTTCATATTCTATTTTGTTGCAAACATAAAATTAAATGGCAAGGTAAAAGACATTCATAGAAGAAAAACCTCCATTGTATTGCCTGACAATGACCAAAAGAACTTTGAAGTAGCATGATTTATTTCACCCACTGCTAAGAACTTCACTAAAAATCAAGCTATTTCTTTGACTAGCAAAGAATTTGTGGAACAAATTTCAATTACAGTCAGAAGCCTGTTGAAGGTTTTTTCCACACTGCTCACAAATTTAATATGTTTTGGTTTGAAATGTCAAGGTACTATCCTTACGTATGCAGGCAAACTACATAAAATAGTACAATACTGAAAACTCCTGATTGCAAAATGGAACCATACAGTTAAAACATTGTGTTCCGTGTGAAATGTCTTTAATCAGTGTTCTAATAACTAAAGGGGTTTTTTTTATATATATTCATCAAGTCACCAACAATCAAGTAGCAATAACTACAAAAAAACAGTACAGCACCATCACCCTAGGTAACCTGGACTTCAGAGGCCCTTAGGTCAGATGTTGCCCATCTGAAGGTACATCACACCTCTATCCCTAACCATAAAACTGAAGCTAAATCTCTACACATCACAAGAAAGCCATAAAGACACACCAATCTTTGTGATTATGAGCAAACCATATTATCAAGGAAGCCATTTTAAAGATCAATTAGAAAAATAAGAGGGAGGAAAGGAAGATAAAGGTTCTATATGAGTAAATTCTCAGCTGCAGAAAACCTTTCTTATTATTATGAACTAAACTGTTTCTTCCTTTCATCTTGTTATTTTGGAGCAACACATGCCTGCCAGAAATACCAGAGCACATAAGAAATCTCCAAGACCTGTGGTCATTAGGCAATTTGTAGAATGACTGATTGCAAAATTTAAACCTTCTAAGTTCAGGCAGCTTATCTCACTCTCCAAGGCAGCCTTCCCTTGTGTTCAGTAAAACACAAACCACTTTTCATGCTCTGAGGTACTTCACAATCTGCGAAGAACAATATAGCAATTCTTTGATTTCTGAAGTGAGATACTGTAAGACCTGGAAGTCTAACGAAAGGTGACCCAGTGGAATCAGGCAAATACATGAGCTTCTTCAGAATTACTTTGTGTTTCAGGCAATACAACACAAATCTATTTTTAGCAACAAATTATTTTGCATTCAAAACGTTTTACACTACACTTCCATTTATTTTTCTATAAAGTGTAAGGCTTATTCATAGCACTGCAGCTTTGTACAATGCAAGCAGATTGCATTTTAGATTTCAGAAAAACATTCAAACTTAATGTTTGTTTCAAATTCCTTTCTTTTTCAAAGTACCATCAGTTCTGAGCAGCAGCTTTAAAACTTCAAGCCTGTAATACTCCACTATCTGGTCTGCACATGATCTAACAAAAAGCAGAAAATTATAATTATTGGTCATCACATTTTCAATCCGCTAAGGTCCAAAAGTTTCTTGTGAAGCACTGACCAAAGCTTGACTTTTCTATTATTCAAGCTGTCTTGGTTTCTTCATATAGGCATTACAGCACAGCCAGAAATCATAAATTCTTCATCCCTTTTTAATGATACCTACTTTGTGAAGAGGCAGCTTCAGCAAATAGTACCAAATGCCTCACAAGAGTTTAAGAAATTATATAGAAAAACTCAGAAATAAAACATTATTTCAGTGAAATGTAACTTAAGTCACACTATTCAGAAATTATGGGTTATGTCACATTACACAAGTGTTAACACTGCTCATTTTTATCAAGGCAAGAAACAATGTCTGATACACTGTTCAGCTGTGCTGCAAAGCCACAACAGTGGGAAACATCTGGCCTAGTGTTCAATTTTTCACCACATATGACAGTGAAGTACTAGCAAAAGACAAAAGGTTTCCAAAACTGCTTTCAAAGCATGCAACAAACTAAAACATGAGTCTCCCATCTCAGAAGCTGAATACAGAACACAGCTATTGATGCAGCAAGCAGATGATTAAAGTCTGTGCAGTTACTGCGCTAAGCAATAAAGTTTAATAGCGCAAATCAAAGACCAGCTGGCATTAAAATGCTGCAGAAAAACAAACAAGCATCAGAGTGAGAAAGTGATCTATTTTGGTCCTCACTGAAAGGAAAAAAATATGCTTGTTGCTTACACAGAAATGAGGAAAAAATAAAAAAAGACTCTTGCAAGCCTGGCCACACATGCCTGACTAAAGAAAAAAAAATATTCAGTATGAATACTGGCAGAGTTGTAATGAATGCAAGCAATTAACCAACCTAAGTCAGATGAGAACCTGAGAACTAATCCTAATAAACAGTAACTAAGTCACTTGTATGACAAAGGATTTTAACCTATAGTTATTTCATCAATAATTAGAACGGCAGTATCTAGGTGTCATTTATTGTGCTTCATTTCTCAGTCTGTATCCATGAGTACACCTTCCTTTAAATGGTATCAAGTCCTACTCATGCATGCTACTTTCCTCAGGCAGACTGGGATACACCAACACTACTGAGAAGTTTCTGAATACCATACTACATTGCCACTCAAATTCCTCCTCTCAAATTTACAGTAGGTAGTTTCCATCTAGAACTGTTATCCTCCAACTGTACAACAGATTTATTGATAATTAAATTTCAATTCTGGCTTTGTAACATGAAATAAAAATAGTTAATAAATACAAACCTGCTCAGAATGCAAATTTATTATCAGTTCTCAAACTAAACAAGAATCTGAAGAACAAAATCTGGAAAGTTCAGCTTGCAAAATGTATGTATATATGTGCATGAGAGGGTGTGGGGCAAGTGGTTATGTTATTTTAGGTAAAACAGCAGCATAGCAATAAAGCAAGCTTAAGATACTAAATTAAGAAACTAAACTTTAACAATCCCAGCACTTTCAAAGCCTGCACTTTGCGGCTACTCTGCATTGCTCTTAAAGGCAAAACAGTGCAATCTTATTACAACAACACAGTTGAGAACATCTAAAATAAAAAAACAATTTAGTGACAAGTTAGTACTACACTTTTTCTCTCAAGACTAAACTTTAATCCAATATTTTCTGCTACATTAAAAAATAAGTTATAACCAGATCAGAAAAGAAATCAAACTTACTGTTTTAGTTTCTCTGCAAATACATACTGGGTGAAGTCTTCCACTGATGGAGCAAAATACATGCTATCTTGCACATTAATACCTTTTTCTTTGATATGCTCTGAGCTGTTAAATCTTACCACATAAAAGGGATGTAAAACAGGACCAAATATCTCAAATACCTGAAAAAAAATAATGTTTAAATAAACCACCAAGAGTAGATAGCCAATTTCATTGTAGGCAGCTGTATAAGAAGTTTGATATATTTTCAAAATGAAACATCAAATAAAGTTTCTTTCACACTCTAGTTTTATTATCCTGTTTAGTCTGACAGCATATTTCCCCACATACTGTTATAGTATGGAAAAGCAAGTTCTTTTATGCTGATGTTGCCTTTGCCCACTGAACTGCACTGTCTACTTCCTCTACCTTTTGTCAAATCTCTATTCTTTTGTCTCCACTACGGTTTAAATAATCTCTGACATCTGGAACAATCTCCTGATCCTTTTTCCTCCAAGTTTATTATTACAACATGCCTTTATGTCAATTCCTGCTTGTTCCCCAATTCCATGGAAAGCACAAAATTCCACCATGTTGTACAGAACACCTGCAATTCAGAGAATCACAGAATCAGTCAGGTTGGAAGGGACCACAGTGGGTCATCTGATCCAACCTTCTTGCTCAAGCAGGGTCACCCCAGAGCACATGGCACAGGATTGCGTCCAATGGTTCTTGGATACCTCCAGTGAGGGAGACTCCACAGCCTCTCTGGCCAACCTGTTTCAGTGTATGGTCACTCACACAGTAAAGTTCTTCCTTGTATTCAGGTGGAACTTCCTGTGCATCAGTTTTTGCCTGTTACCTCTTGCTTTATTGGTTTCCACCACTGAGAAGAGTCTGGCTCCATCTACTTGTCACCTCCCATTCATGTACTTGAATACATTAATGAGATCACTTTTCAGCTGTCTCTTCTCGAGATTGAAGACCCAACTCCCTCAGCCTGCCCTCATAAGTAAGCTGCTCCAGTCCCTTAACCATCTTCGTTGCCCTGTGCTGGACCCAATCCAGGAGCTCTTATTTCCCTCATGTACTCAAGGAGCCCAGAACTGGACACAATACTCCAGGTGTGACCTCACGAGGGCTGAGAAGAGACAGGATCACCTCTGTTGACCTGCTGGCAGTGCTCCTCCTAATGGACCCCAGGATTCTAGCATGTAACATCTAGCATTTGAAGTTAATATAGTAGTTAACCACTGCCAATGATGGCTTTCCTTCCACAGGAAACACAAAATTTTCAATGCAACACCCTCTCAGCAAACATTCTTCACTGGACTTAAATCAGAACACAGAGCATAGACGTGTCAACATTCCTTACTCTTCCTGAAACTTCACTCTAACCTGTGCCCCTATTTGGCAGTAGAAGAGCACAGCCTGTAATTCAAGACATCACACACACCTGAAACCAATCTCTCCCTCTCCACAAGCACTCAAAATACTGGAAAGTCTGTAAGAATGCAGTGAATTCCAAGACAGGAATTCTTGAGAGTAAAAACACAGAGGACAATAGCAAGACTCAAAAGCACAAAGGAAAACTACGTATCAAGGAAATTCTTTCATTTAGCCAACTTCAACTCTAGTTGTTGGAGCACTAATACTTTGAATTTTGTATTAGAATAACAAGTTTATATTTTATACACACCTTTCCTACTGCGTGACGATCTTCTTTAAAAATTACACTTTCCTCATTTACTGGAGGTAGGCCTCTCACTGATTCAATTATTACTAAAATGGAAAATAAACACAATTAGATCTTCACTTTTCAACAGCATGTAGTTAATTGCAGAGAAACTTACTAACCACACCATTATTTGTCTACTGAAGTTCACAGAGCTGCAACCAAAAATTCTTGCACACAAGAGAAACTACTTAAAATCATACACCCCTTCTCCAGTGATATATGAGTGGCAATATTTACATTGCTTACAGAATTTGATTCTCTGGGGTAAAGAAAGAAAGGACACCAGATGATAGGGACAAAAGAAGTCTCAGGTATGTATGAGCAAGATACCTACTATCTGGGGTTGTTTAGCCTGGAGAAGAGGAGGCTCAGGAGTGACCTTATCACCCTATACAACTACCTGAAAGGAGGTTGTAGTCAGGTGGGAGTTGGTCTCTTCTCCCAGGCAACCAGCAGTAGGACAAGAGGGCACAGACTCAAGCTCTGCCAGGGGAGGTTTAGGTTGGATATTAGGAAGAGATTTTTTACGGAGAGAGTAATCAGGCATTGGAATGGGCTGCCTGGGGAGGTGGTGGATTCACCATCCCTGGAGGTTTTCAAGTTGAGGCTGGATCCATGGTCTAGTAATGACGGTAGAGTTGGACTCGATCTCTGAGGTCTTTTCCAACCTGGTTGATTCTATGATTCTATTTACTCGGAATGTTTCTTAATTAAGTGCATAGTAGCAATAATCTTGGGGTTTTCGAGTGCAGATGCACATGTGTATTCTGCCCTCTTAATATTCCACATTAAATTCTCCTCAGAAAAAAAGAATGGAGATCACTGTTCATTATAGCTTTCCCTATAAGTCCTGTGAATCAGACCAGAACACAAAAACTGTCTGGCAGACACACAATTGGAAATAAATTTCAGTAATTTAATCTCATGTAAATATCATACTACATTTGGGCCTAAATTGATAAGATTAACAATGGTAGAAGTGGTCAGAGCAAGCAAGTCATTCTAGTAGCTCAAAATATGGAATCTTAACACTTAGTGAACTTAAATACTTATAAATGGACACAGAAGCATCTTCTTCCATTAAGTACACGATTTGATATACAGGCTAATTCATTTTTAGGTTTTCCAGATTCAGAGACAAAGAGATTTCCCTACTGAAATCTCTATAGTAGTTCACTTTCTTCAGCAGTAGTCAGCATTTGTTACTTTAATCTACAGAAATACCAGGTCTTCCTTTACCTTAAGGAGGAACTGTGCTTAAAGCTGTCAACAAAAAAGCCTAGCAGCATTACACTCAAAAACTCTGATCCTGAAGATAATCTTCTCTACCACTAAAACAACAAAGTGCTCAATTAAGCATTCTCAATGCCTCTCCATCAGCAAATAAAGTCACTCAGACTCCAAGAAAAAGTAACAAGATCATTACTGCTAAACTTACATAACAGAACTTTAAGCAATAACATGTCACCAAGCTAAAACTGCTTGACATGTCAAACAAGTATGCTACAATGCCACAGGCTTAATAGTTCACTGAATTCCAAGAGAATTTGGGAAAACAATTTTTGTGTCTACCTGTAGGATAAAATATACAGTGAAAAACCCAATGTGTTGTTTAATCCTCCTAAGAAATACAATAAGCCAAAAAAGAAAAAAAAAAACCCTACAAAAATCCAAACCAACAAAAAAATCATGCACCAAAAACTCTCAGAGCATATTCTCTACTTAATCCATCACAAGTCCCAAGTCTTCAGTAGGCTAAGGAAAATACTCGGAAAATATGAGTCATGCCAGTCCCATGAAACCTAGGAGAAACTGCAGTTAAGGAACTACTGTATATCTCAATCCCATTAAGCTTACCCTTCAGCACCCATAAATCATCTTAGTTGTACTGTGCTATGACTGCTGACACGGGCCGCTTACATTTGGTCAAGGTGCCAGAAGTGGGATGAATAAAGATAAAATTAAATTAAAATAAACCCAAAAAACACAACCACAAAACAAAACGACAAAAAGAACCTGCACTGCTAAAGAAACAAGTCTTTTCCTGCCATCATATACTAAGAAGCAAGCACTTGGGACTGCATTGTACTACACTAGTCCTTGAAGTTACACAGCTCCTGTATATTCAGAGATAATTCAAATGTAGTGCACACAGCTGGAAGATCTTCTTAAAATACTGCCAAGTGTTCAATCTTTTTGTTGTCAGAATCAATATAAAAATTATTTTATGCAATATATTATTACACTGGAGACAAAAAAGTCATTTTAAAGAAAAAAATTAAACATGAATGTCACACAGAAACACATGCAGTTCTAGCTAGGTAGTAGACAGTAGTCTTAGTATCATGTAAGCCAACTAAAAGGTAATTCAACACAAATATCATTTGTTAGTTTGAGTTCTCACACAGCAACCCACTACCCCTGAAAATCCAATGCTGCAGCACTGACACTTTAAAGGAACACTTAAGTACACATTAACACCCAGTTATACAAAAACTACATTAATTAAAAACAAAGCAAACACATCTTGCCTACCCAGCTTCTCAATGATGCTGGAAACTGTGCCAAAGATCTTCAGTTCAACATCATCAGGAAGAATTATTGACAAGTCTTCAACAGGAGGTAGGTCCTGAAAATAGCAAGTCAATGTTTAGAATACAATATCACACTAAGACATTCATCACTTTGTCACAGCAGAAATTTTGACAATTGGAAAAAAAGGCTCCTAGCATTTTGAGGATTTTATTTTTTAAAAAAACTAACTTGATTTGCCTCTTTCAGAACCATTCTAAATGAACTCACCTTGAGGGAATGTCACTTCTGAGGACACCTTTGCTATTGAAACATATTTCCAGTTGTGCTGGTTTGAAAGCAAACCAGTGAGACTCCAAGTCAGGAGTACAATTTAATAGGAAAAACAACAACAAATGCAACAGTACAAAAAGAAACCACTGCCAAGAGTCAAAGTAAGCTGACACCCTGTCAGTCAGGGTGTTGGTAGCAGTCCGATTAAATGGTGGCTGCAGTCCTGGAGTGATGGGTCTGTTGGAGCAGTGATCCTGTAGATCCATCCTCTCCCAAAGGTCCAGTGGCAGGTCTTGTCCTCTGGGAATCCAGCAGGCAAAGGGTGCTGTCCAAACTCCAGCTTATATCCCTGTGTGAATGCTTGGCTTCCACTCAAACAGAAGAATCTTACCCTGTTTTATCAGAACTTCACCTGATAATTTTTACTCTAACCAAAGTGCTTGGCAAAGGCTTCTAGAGCAACTCCAAGACCAAAAAGAAGCAAAGACTTTCCCAGATGTTACACTGTTAAACTCAAGGCATGAATTCAGATAGAAACACCACACTCTTCTACAGGCCAGTGAGTTTTCCAACACTGAATCAACTTCACTGCTAAGACTTAACCAAGCTACTTCTGTGAGAGCAATTCAAAGGCCAAAGACCAGCAGGTAGGAGGTTGTAACTTTGATCCTAAACCTCAAAATTGTAAACTGTATCTCCTGACATACTATATACAATATCTGCTTATCCTACACTTCAAAGCAAGAGGTTCCTAAAATAGTTCCACTAACACTCCTTAATATATGCACCTGAAAAATAAGACATTTTAAGTCGTTAACTGTGCTAGTTTTGGCTGTGGTAAATTCACTTTTCTTCACAGTACCTAGTATGGGGCTGTATTTTGGATATCTGCTGGAAACAGTGTTGGTAACACAGAGATGTTCTGCTATTGCTGAGCAGTGCTCACACAGCAAGGCGGCCTTTTCTTCTTCTCACACTACCCATCAGTGAGGAGGCTGGTGCAAAAGGAATTGGGTGGAGACACAGTCAGGGCAGCTGACCTGCACTCACCAAAGGGATACTCCAAACCATATGGCATCATGCTCAGCATAGAAAGCTGGGAGAAGGAGAAGGAAGTGGGGGGGACATTCAGAGTGATGGCATTTATTTTCCCAAGAAACTGTTACATGTGATGGAGCCTAGCTTTCCTGGGGATGGCTGAACACCTGCCTGCCCATGAGAAGCATTAAATTTGTTTTGCTTTACATATTAAACTGTCTTTAGATCAGCCTTAGAATTTTCTTTTACTCTTCTGATTCTATCCCCCATCTTGACAAGGAAGGAGAGATCTAAATATGCTTCAAGTTGGGTTTGTGAGAAAAGGTTTAAAACATAACACAATGTACTTACATCAATAGGCAACTCATCTTTTGATCTAATACAGAAAGATCTCTCAACCTTCTCAATCGGCTGATCATCTTCATCAGATAGTGGTGAAGGTGAAGACAAGGATGTAGTTGGTGAACTATCTGAATCCGTATCACTGAATAAAACAAACATGGGAGTTAGAAAACTGACTTCTCACAGTGACTCTTCTTGTACAAACCCAACATTAGCATAACGCTAAGTGAAGGTTAGGAAAATACTGATTCCAAGTAATGCATCTTGAAGGAAAAAAAACTCTATTAGAATGTAAAAGAGATTAGTTTCATAATTCACGGCCTGTCTAAAGTCCCCCAATACACATTCACAGAGATTAGTAATAAAACATTTCTCACTGGCACATGCATAAGAGATGTTTATTGTCTTAGACTCCTAATATTTAAAAAACCCACTCCCTTCTAGATTCTTGAAATACCACATTGTCTCCTTCACAAGTCAACAAATGCCTTTCAATTAGCTATTGCTGCATTCTTTACTCCAACAAACACTGATAATAATGACGAGCACCGCTCCAAATAAAACTTTTGAAAAAGCCAAATAAGGACTTTTCAGAACAAAACCAATATCGCAGAATTTTAAAAAATAATCAAAAAAAAAAAAATCACTCAGACTACCAGAGACCAATCAGTGGAGGGAGGAGAAAAAACAAAACTCAAGATTGAGATGCATGTACGTAGGCAGCTAAATAAGTTACAGCTATGAAAATTTCACCTTTAACGATCTGCACAACAGACTCTGGAACTAAGACACACTGCATACAGGTAAAGCACTGAATATAGGTCAGGAATTTCACTCTCCATCACTTCATGATGCTCTAGGAAAACTTTTAACCAAAGTATTTCTAAAGCCAAACGTTAACTAATTAACTGCTAATGAAGCTTTATGTGTCTTTAAGAAGAGATCCTTAGGCTTTCTTTCAGCTTCCACAAGTTAAAGTAAGCACATACCCATCTTGCTGCCACGGCCCAAGAAAAAGCCAACGTTTCAGGCTTCTAACCGTGCAACAGAGCCCACATCTAACCAAAGTTACCTTTCACCAACTATACTGAACACCGAAGCACAAATGGAACTTTTTATACAGAACATACATGCTCAGAAAGAGATGACAACATCCGAGCACGAGGTAAGGTCTGCAAACTCTGCACACTGACTCCCACCATTCAGTTTTTTTCCAGCAGCAACACTGCCGGTGCCTGACACCAGCGCCACAGGAGCACTCTATGAGCACCACACCGAAGCGCACACTCCAGCAGGCACGGGCTCCAAGACGCTCTGCGGGCCACCAACAACCTCACGTGCTGTTCAATCCCATACCCCTGCAGGCACTGTTCTGGAGGCTTAATTCAACGGCACGACTCCGAGCGGGAGATACCTGAACGTGCTCTGGGAAAGCTACCGAGACTGAAACCCTGGGCC